AGTGGCCTTCAGCCTTCTCAGGGTCAAAGTAAGCCCAAGGTAGTCCAGAGAAACAACTCTCCGGTAACCCATCATTTTAGCAAACGCCCTCTGTTTCCACTTTGGGCACCTCTTGTTAAAGAGGATGGCTGTCTTCTCCCTATTAATACACTTTCCCGTCCATTTGCAGTAGTCATTGAAGATGCCCCAGATACAATTAGCGTTGGTTTTGTTGGCCTCTGCAAACACAAGAATATCATCCGCATACAACAAATGTGAAATGCGCTCAGCTCCCCTAACAATCGAGATCCCCAATTGTTCCCCCCGCAGCCGAAAAGTTTTGGACAGCAGCTCGGAACACAAGATGAAGAGGTAAGGTGACAAGGGACATCCTTGTCGAAGCCCACACATTGCCTGAATCCATGGGGTTCTACTACCATTGATCAAAAGGGAAAACCGAGGTCGAGTGAGGTATTGGATTATCCACATACTCAAACGACTAGGGAATCCCATCCGGGTCAGCACCAGTTGAAGCGTATCCCACGCCATACTGTCATAAGCCTGTTCCATGTCGATTTTAAGGGCCATCATCCTTGCCCTCTGTTGTGAGTAACGGAATTTATTAATCATTTCCTGGGCCACCATCCCATGACTGGAAATGGATCTCCCCGGAACGAAGGCACCTTGCTCCTTGCTAACAATATGGCACAATGCCGGCGTGATGCGGGTGATTAAAATTTTGGCAATCACCTTGTAGAAGGATTGGCACAAGCTAATGGGTCTGAACTTCGCCGAAACACAACTATCCATCGTCTTGGGCAGGAGGACAACCAGGGTGTCTTTCCAACTAGCACACATGGAATTAGTAGCAAAAAAATGCCAAATGGCACGCATGACATCATTCTTAATGATTTCCCAGTAAAATTTAAGGAACGAAGCAGTAATACCGTCCAGACCCGGCGAGCGGTTGTTCCCCATGCTGAAAACGGCTTTCTGGATTTCCAGTTCAGTGACTGCGGCATCCATGGTCTCCCTCAAGTGTTCAGGGATCTTCTCCTCCCTGTTAAAGTCCGGCCACCCTTCCAGTGAGACCAATCTATCTTTCCACTTAGCTGTGAAGAATCCCATGAATTCCTCCTGGATGTCGTTCTGGTCAGAGGTTCTGTCCCCGTTGGCTTTCTGTATTTCCACAATCCGGTTGCCCCTACGGCAAGCCGAGGCAGAAGAATGGAAGAAAAAAGAATTCGTATCCCCCTCTTTAATCCACCGGGTCTTAGCACGCTGACGCCACCACGTCGCCGTTCTGGCAAGGGTAGCAATCAAGTCAGAGGCCGTTTTTCTAAGTTCGGTATCCTGTTCCGTGTTCAGCCCCGCTTGGGAGCTTTCAAGTAACTGAAGCTCGGCAAGATGCCCCTCAAGCATACTCTTCATGTCTCCCAGTTCCTTCACGCGGTTACAACTCCAAAAGAACAGGGATTTAAGAGTCCTAGAGCATTTGCGATTCAAAACATCATCCGGCTGCCCGTGATCTTGCTTAGTCCAGCTCTTCCAAACAATTTTCCAAGTGGCCGGGTAGGTTCGCCACACATCTTCAAATCTGAGCCACTTGCTCCCGGGATGCGTAGGCTGATTCGACAGCCTAAGGAGAAGTGGGCAGTGGTCCAACGCAAGTCGTAAGAGGTGTTTCACCGAAGCTAGGGGGCAAACTGAAGTGCCACCGAATTCATAAGGACTCGATCCAACCGGACCCAGACCTTGTTGGAGCCCTGCTTGTTATTCGACCACATGAACTTCGGACCAGTGAACCCCAGGTCATGTAAGTCGTTATCCACCATGAACGCCGACATCTCTTGTGCCCCAATGGGAAAGCCGAACCTGCGCCTACCGCATTTTTCGCATTGATCCAGGCAACAATTGAAATCGCCCCCCACGATAACCGGGAGGTCGGCAGGGGCAAACTGAAGTCCCACCGAATTCATAAGGACTCGATCAAACCGGACCCAGACCTTACTGGAGCCCTGCTTGTTATTCGACCACATGAACTTCGGACCAGTGAACCCCAGGTCATGTAAGTCGTTATCCACCATGAACGCCGATCTTGTGCCCCATTGGGAAAGCCGAACCTGCGCCCACCGCATTTTTCGCACTGATCCAGGCAACAATTGAAATCGCCCCCCATGATAACCGGGAGGTTGGCATCAATACAAGAGCTGAGAGCCTCCCATAGAACGCGTATGGAGTGGTAGTTCTTGCCAGTATAGACAATAGCCACCGTCCACTCTTGGTTGTTAGGCAGTACCAATTGCCCAACCATGGCTTGTTCCATCATCTTGGTGGCCACAAACCGGGAACAATCCCTGCGCCAAAGTGCCAGAATTCCGCCCGACCTACCGTTGGCCGGGAAATGTAGAAAATCCCAGTTGGCTCCAGCTAGGACGTCCACCTCCACTCTGGAGATATCATCAATCATTGTTTCCATCAAGCCGACAAAAACAACCTCATTACCCCCAATGAGGCTACGTAGGAAGTGACCCGTTTGTTTTTTTCGGGCCCCCCTACAGTTCCAGAAGATGATGGACGACATTAATCAACCCGTGGGGGGGGGGCGCCCTCGCCGCCAGATTCCTCATTGCCCTCCTTCCTTCTTTTCCGAGGAAGTTCCCGGTCGGTTGCCAGGAGATGGAAGCCCACACCACCCGAGGGCCTATTGGCCAGCTGAGCCCCCCGGCTTGTTACCCATAGAAAACAGCAGTGGTCGGTTAATACCCAATTTGGCCTGCTTTCTAGTAGGTTTGTTCCCAATAGGTGGCTCCTTGACTGCCTTCAGATCCACCTGCCTTGGGGTCTTTCCCAAAGGTTTTTTTTTGACTACTCGTTGTGCTCCTTATCAACGGTTTGCCCCCCTTACGTCTACGAGGGGGGACTTGGATCCAAGGACCCACAAGGTCTTCCTCCGTTGGAGCTTTATTCATCATTTCATCACGCCCTCCTCCTCTGCCCTCCAGGGAGGCACTCCTAGTGTCCCGCTCCAGGATAACCGTCTCGTTAGGAGGGACAATCATTTTTTCACGAACGGTCTCCAAACTTCCTTGTTGACCCTGATCACGCTTGGCCAAATTGCTCCTTGACCCACCAGCCTTGCTGCTTTCTCCCTTTTCGAAACTTCCTTCCGGCCTCGACGGCTTCTCGGAAGTGGAGGGAGCCTGAGCAACACTCTTGAAAGGGCATGAGTCCCTGCGGTGACCCACCCTCCCACAGCCATAGCACATTAGGCCAATACCTTCATATTCAACCTTCTGGTAGAAGCGCCCGTTCAGGCCATCGATTCATATTCCGGCCAAAAGTTATTTGGCTAAGTTCATCCGAACACATACCCGCGCGTACTCGCGCCGTACCCAATTACCGGTTTGGGTATCAATCCAGAGAGGCAAGCCAATCCGAGAGGCAATTCGGGAGATATTGGACTCGTCCCAATATTGGAGTGGAAGGTTGGGCATCCTAATCCAAACAGGGGATGAAAGACCTTCCATAGATGTCGGAGAAAAACCAGGTGTCCATCTGTCCAACCCCACCAGGTTCCCTCCGATGAACTAGGGGCCACCACTAAGCACTGCATCTCGGATCTCCGTAGAGGTAAAGATGCAAAGGAAGCAATCGGAACCCAACGTCGTGAGTTGGAACTCCCCGAATCCACCCCATTGTCTTTGGATCTCGGACTTCAACAAGAAGAGCGAAACCTTTTTTCCTAAGATCTTCCCAACCACCGCA